TCCACTATCTCTATAGCATCTTTAAGTCAATACACCAATATATTTTAAATCTTGGGTCACTGGGACTTATCTTACTGAACTCAGAAATTTGAACAATTCTTAATTGTTGTTTTTCTCATCTTTGAATGATAGATTCTCTAGGCCATCAAGGACATTCAGGAATGCTTCATACTCTGCTTTTCTAACTTTAGTGGCCTGCTGATATGATACTTAAAGAAATGAAAGAATAATATTATTTAACAACCTGATCTATCTATCTGCTACAAAAGCAAAAAGGAAAAAGGGGCAGAGCAGGGTGGGAGATAAAGTACCGTTTCATCTTGAGCTAAGACAGCAGCCTCCTAAGAATTCAAGAAAATGCTCCCTTCCACCCTGATCACTTATGAACTTCTTCACCCTACATAAGTATAATATTTGCCTCCAACAGCATGGTAGGGCCCCCTTGGGCCAGAAGACCTCCCTATGGAAGGAAAGAATGACTGCCCTGATGGCTACTTTTGAGGCAACTCATAACTGTGAGATCTGACCACCCATGACTAGGACAATTCTAGTTCCAAATACTAGGCCTTCCTCTTTTTACCAAGATATCAATTCATGATCTCCTACATACCTAGCCTGTGATTCTTTTTTTAAAATTGCATTCTGCCAAGAGGCCCCTTAATAGAACAGGAGATACAGCTGGGGGGAAGGATGGTGGTGAGAAATAAGAGAGAGGAAATGACTAGACAGGTGTATGCCCATGAAGATAAAATGGATATACTGGGTAGTAAAGATTTTGTTAAAGAATTTGAGCATTTTTAAGCAAATGCGTATATTTCTGTAAATACCTAGCAATTTCTGAACTACTTTTAGGCACATACTTTCTCTGTCTTATATAAACACATCTTGATTTAGGATTTTAGGACTGCTGAATGCCTTGAAGTCATTGAATAATAGTTTTCTACTTTAAGTAATTTTAGTTGTTTGTAATATTTTCCACTTTGTCAGGAGTTTCTCTAAGAGCTACCTTGCAAGTAGGAGCAAGTTGTAAAAAAGGGCCACACCTGCTTAGAAAAGAAGTAGCTCCTTCATCCAGCAACAGAGCAAGCTTATTGTGTAGCATAGCACCTGAAAAGCTAGTTAGGATAGCTGTGATGCATACTGCACACACCTACAAACTATACTCCTCATGTCTGTATGAGAGCCATTTTAGAGTGACTACACCTACAAACTATACTCCTTATGTCTGTATGAGAGCCATTTTAGAGTGACTTTTTTTTTTTTTTGTAACATTCTCTGACATTTCTGAGTCACTAGAGAAAACAGAATATTTTAAGTAAGCTGAAAAGGAAGATCCTTGCAGGGTTTAGCATAGAAAGGAAATGTTTTTCTTTCTACTCCTCAGTGAGAACCTAAGACTTTCTCTCCTCAGCAATTCTTGAGGGCGGTTGGCACTCAGGAGGTGGAGAATGACCTAGTTTTGAGGATGACATACATAGTATGATATGTGACTCTTTTGGAAGAAGAATATATATTTTTTAAAATCAGCCATTGAGTATGATTAAGAATTTCCACTTTAATTATTTGAGACATAAACATATTTATCTAAACCTATCTTTTAGGAGGCTTCACGTGAACAAAACTCATTCACACTTCATTCATTCAACATTTATTGAACACTGACTACATACCAGGCACTGTTCTAGTCAATGGGGATATAGCAGTGAACCCCGTTCTCATAGAGTTCACATTCTACTTGGAAAAGAAAGACAATAAGCAAAGAAAGAATATATAACATGTCTGATGAGACTAAGAGGATAGGGACTGATAAGAATGTTATTTTATTAAGACAGTAATAATGAAGATAGTAAATTTAGGAGGTGACATTTGAGCAGACACCTGAATGAAGTAATGAGGTTAATAATGTGAAAATGTGGGGTAAGAACAGGTCCTAAATGTAGGGAACAGCTAAGGAAAAATTCCTAAGGTAGAAACATGCTTGACGTGTTTGAAGAATATCAAGGCCAGTATAGTTGGGGTAAAGAGTGGTAATAAATGAGATACTTGCAGAAGATTAACCCAAAGTTTTTGCCCTGAGAATCTTGAAAAAATAGAGTTGCCATGTACTGGAAATGTAAAGACTGCAGGACAAGCAGGTTGGGGTGTTTGTCTGTGTGAATCAGCTTTGAATTTGGTTAAGAAGGCTGTTAATATTCAAGGACCTAGAATAGTGCCTGCCACATATTAGGCACTTGTGGGATGAAAACTGAAAAAAGATGTAAAGCAATTACAAAATACAAATACAAAAATCCAAGTAATCTACTATGCACATCTAGATATTTATCAAAGTATATTTATGTTTTTCCATGATGAATATTCACCAGAATATTGGAGATCATCCAACTCTCACACTCTGAAGAAAGGTAACAAACTGAGATTAAGTAATTAGAGATTAAGGTTAAGCAACACATTTGTGATACGGCCAGAATCAGCAGTCAGGCCTCCTGAATCTTAATTTGTTGTTCCACATTATACCAAGCTCTTGCTCCATGGAATCTTAGCGTTTAGGTTCATAATGTGGAATGAACTATTGTTTTCAAGGAATATATTTGAAGGTGTGGCGGTTAAGTTTGTGTGTCAACTTGGCTGGGCCTGGTTGAGTGGATGGGCAACTGGATGTAGTATTCCCCTGATGAGACTGGCAATAAACTCCATAGTGGAATCTACTGTGAGCAGCTGAGTAGCTGCCTTTGGGTATGTGGTCTGCTTCCTATATATAAGGAGAAGGCTTGGGGAACAGTCTTTAGCTTATGGCACACTTGGACTCTGCATGTAGCTGTGTTATTGTTCAGCAGCCTGCCATGCTCTGCCAACCTTGGGACTTTCAATGGATTGACTTAATGGCCTGCTGTGTGGTTTGGTAACATTGGGACTGTGACTTTTTACTTGTCAGCCTTGGGTTTGTCAGTCTCAGTAGTTGTCTGAGTGAAGAAAAGCCTGTAGCTTCAGTGGGTCAGGAGCAAGAGGCAGAGCTAAAGCCCAAGGCTGAGGGGCCCTTAGAGCCTGATACTTTGAACTCAGACTTAAAGCCTCCAAACTGTAAGAGAATAAACTCCTGTTGGTTAAAACCATCCCATTTGTGGTATATTTCTGAGAGTGGCACAGAGGTAACCAGAACAGAAGGGTTCTACTTATAGAACTTGGCTAGTTGGAATCTACTTCCCAAATGATTAAATGCAAGTAAAAACTTCTATATGTGAAATCATCATGATGTTTAACCTTCTGGCAACTAGTTCAGATGTGTCAGAGACAACAATGATATTTAGATGTGCATTATATAGACAATACATGTTGTTAGGTTCTGTGGAGCTGATTCTGATTCTTGGTGATCCCATGGGACAGGGTAAAAATGCCCCATGGGGTTTCCAAGGCTATCAATCTTCATGGAAGCAGACTGCCACATCTTTCTCCCAAGGAGTAGCTGGTGGGTCTGAACTGCTGACCGCTGGGTTAACAACCCAAGTGCTTAACCTTTGTGTTACCAGGGCTTTTTAGATAATACATATTACTTCATAATTATTCTATGTTAGCAAACAAAGACATACTTTGACTAGGACTACATAGGTAGGAAAACACTTTGTACAGTTAGCCAGCAAACTGTTAAAATATGCAATGTGTCTCTTGCTTTGAATGAACACCTATGTGGTCCTTGACAAGTAATGTACATCCTGCTTAACTTTCAACAAACCAGGTATTGAGTGTCTACCATGTCAGATAGTATACTAGACAGTAAACAAAATGAACGATTCCTTTTCATCAAGTATATGGAAAAAAACAAGAAAAATACTTTTTTTTAAAAAAAGGTTTTTCTTTTAAGTACAAATACCTGTTGAAAACTATTGTTCAGGTAATGCTAGAGTATAGCAATAACTAGATCTTTGTAGAATTGTCAGGGAAGTTTCTCTGAATGGACAAACATGAGTTTTAAGAAAAAGACTCAGATTTGACAGGTAGGATATTGTATTAAAGGAAAACACAACATAGAAAGGGTCAGGGTAGAGAAGCAAGTAAGTCATGCCATCAAACAAACACACACCCGGGCCTAATAACTGTATCATTGTTAGCTAAGGGCGGGGGAGGCAACTGGAGGAAAGCTGCAAACATAAGCCAGATAGTTCACAATTGACAGCTGTAGGGAAATGAGCTTGATCAAAACAAGGCATTTACTCTTTTGGTTTGTTTTGTCACCACTAGTGAGGCGGATTTTTATATTCATACATCTCTAAGCATTCTTCACTATGCCAACAGAAATACTTTTAATAACCAATTTTTTCAAGTATCAAGATAATAAGAAAAAAATTTTCTGAAGAAAGCGATTTAAAGAGCAGTGTACTTAATTAAAAGGAAAAGTCTAGGAGGAGCTGTTTTTTATGCATCCCCCCCCCCCGTTCCCCTTCCATGCCACACTGTGCAGTAAACTTTTAAGACGGGTAAAACTACGTTAGCAGAGTGGCCTGCAGTACGTATTCAACAAATGATGGTTATTATTTGACCTTAGACCTCTTGGTTTTCTCTTTCAAAGGAAGAAACGGGGCACATATAGTCTCTAAGGATCCTGTCAGCCCTGACAATCTCATTTTAAGTAGACATCAAATAAATATTTGCTGAATAAACGAAGTAAACAGTTTCTCTACCGAGCCGGGCTAAACGCCCACTTTAGAACCGGCCGGGAATGGGGGCAGGATTGGCCCGCGGCTACCACATGTCGGTGTCTGTAGGTGAGAACACACGCCGCTCATCCACGACCAAGGGAGAAGGCTGGACTAGGCAAAAGTCCTTGTTTGTGATCTCAGCCCCACCCGCTGTCAAATCTGCACTCAAGCCCGGCCGCGCGGAGCCTACTCCAACCCAACCGGACCATACCGGTGAGCCGAGTCACTAAACCCCACAAAACCGGACGCTTCCCATCCCCGTCAGACCCGCCCCTTCCGGCCGTAGCCCCTCCCCGACCACAGCCCCATCCGCCCCTATGACCCCGCCCACGGCCCCGCCTGGCAGCGAGCTCAGCGCTCGGTTCTCTCAGTGCCATCCCGGAGCCGTGTCCACCGGCGACGCTCTGAGGTCACCGACGGGGCCGAACAGCAGGGGGCGGAGGGACGGAGGGAAGATGGCGGCGGAGGCCGGATATTGGCGCCGCCTCCCCCAATCCGGGAGCCGGCGCAGATGAGGCGGCTCGGCTGGGGCCAGCGGCGCTGCGGAACAGGAGCTGGGGGGACCCTGGCGGTGGGGCCTGGCCCTGCTGTATGCCGGCGCCACAGCTAGAGTGAGCGGCGGCGGCGGCGGTGACGGCGACGCCTCTATTCTCTGGCTCTTTTCCTGTATCTGTGAGTCCAAGCGGGCGGCGGAGGTAGCGTGGCCAGGATGGAGGATGTTAACTCCAACGTGAACGCGGACCAGGAGGTGCGGAAGCTGCAGGAACTGGTGAAGAAGCTGGAGAAGCAGAATGAACAGTTGAGGAGCCGCTCTGGGGCCGTGCAGAGCGCCGGCCCCCTCGGGCCTGGCAGCCCGGTTCGGGCCGGCGCGTCCACTCCCTCCTCCGGCACGGCGTCCCCTCGGGGCTTCCCCTTGGGCCTCAACGCCAAGTCCGGCTGCGGGGCCGGCTCGGGCCCGAGACGGACGAGTAGCGAGGAGCTGCGGGACGCCACCTCCTTGCTGGCGGCGGGCGAGGGCGGCTTGCTGGACGAGGTGGAGCCGCTGCGGCCCGAGGAGCTGGAGCGCTTGTCAGGCTGGGAGGAGGAGGAGGAGAGCTGGTGAGCGCGGGGCACCAGGCCGAGGTTGGGTGGGGACGGGCCTCGCCTTCCGAGGGTCTCCTTGGTGGAACGCCTCGCTTTGTGTACTCGGTTCCGCTCTCTGGCTTTGCTTTGGCTGCGGAAAGATCAGCTGGACGTGGGGATTCGAGGCAAGGAAAGGGGCTGGGGGGTAGTTCTCTTCTGGTCTGTGGGCTTTCTGGTTGCTGAACCCGTTGGGGTCTCCGGGTTTAACCGGAGAAAGGCAGCTTGCCGTGGGAAGAGTCAGAGGTGGGAAACTGCTTTGTGGGAAGAAATCGTGCTTTGTGTGAAATACCAGCTTTCGGATGGTGTCCTGGGTATTTTGGATGTCAGGGAGGGGTCTGCCTGATGAGGTACCACCGGGTGCGAGAGACAGACCACGGTCGTCCATATCTGTTTAAGTGGTCAGTGTTTTGGACCAGTGTGAGGTGGATACGTTGCTGGCGGGGATGAGAACACCGTGTGAATCAGCAGTCAGTCCCCTATGGGCAGTTGGTGTACAGCTTGCTTTGTGTGAAGAGGGCAGAAGAAGGTGCTGCTTTGTATGAGGAGTCAAGCAAGGGTGGACTAAGAGCCCTAGCTCTTACTCTTTATTTTTTTAAACAAGAATTGGCCTTGGGAATTGTTCGAAGCTCTGAAGTGACATTTGTCTTGTTAGTCTTCCCATAACGTCCTAGGGGCAAAGAAAAAGGCCCCCATTTTAAAATCTAAACCAAAGCTATATTGTCACTGACCACCTATTGAAATTGTGACCCACACCTTCAAATCGCTTCCTTAAATAGACAAGCGGCCTTTCCCATCATACTTTATTGCAACCAAATTCAGTATCTATGAGAAATTCTCTCTTAATTTATCCCTTTTTAAAGTTTTAATTTTTAACTACAGTATCTCTACTCTTTGAAATCGAAACTTCTGACTAAGTGAAATAGAAATCCTTCTTAGACTCTTGGTATTGCAGGGCTCAGACTTTGCAGGGTGAGTAGTTACGGGCTTTGCAGTCACACTAGCCTGGATTCAGGCCCTAACTCTGCAACTTACTAGTTTGTATGACCTTGGGCTAATTACTTTAATCCTCACTTTCTCCCTCTACTTTATGGAGAAAATAATAGTTCTTACCTCTTTAGAATTGTAAAGATTAAATGAGATAATTTGTATATGCTCTTCACATTGGGTCTGGTATATCATACACTCTCCAAGACTAGCTGCTATTATACGTAAACCGAGTTGTTTAAATCAAGACATATGTACTCTTAGAGGATCTTGTGAGAAATTCTAAACATTCATAATTGTTGGTCCCCATTCATAAGGTAGTTACAGTCCTGTCCAGGGCTAAATTTTATGCAGTTAAATAATCTAGGACATATACAATAAATTGCCAAAAGAATGATAGGAACAAAAAGTTCTGAGAGTACTCAAAGTGGGAGGAGAGTAATCCAAAGTCATTGGGGCTGACTTTAAGGAGGAGGTGATGTTGGAGCCAGGTAGTGGGAAGGGCATTTTATGCTCTGACAACTGCAGGGAGAATCAGAGGTATTTGCGTAACTCCCAGTTAAGATAATTTGAATGACAAAGCTACCATTGAATATGTGATGTCAAACTTTATTTTATTGCCAAGTGACATCAAATATTATTAGCACTTATTATGGTAGTGACAATTTTTCGTATTAGTGTGAAATCACGTCCTCCCAAAGGAATCCTGGGTATGTATACACTTTAAAAGAACTCAGAATCATTTAAATGTCGTCACATGCCTTTTTCAAATGATGATAATGATGCTCTTAATGTTGAGGACTGGCTGCACTCATCAGCCCATTTTAGATTATGTATTATTAGAACACATTGACTCCACTTGGAGAAGCTGATTAAGTCAGACTACTTTGGTTTCTGAGCATAGCATTTGTTCAGCTAAAGCAAGTCTCTTTAGATACCATGACAGAAGTTTCTTTTGATTCTTGCTTACTGATTTCAGCCTGGCTTCATATCTTGATGCTCTAGATGGCCTACATATACTGTGTGAATTGAAAGTTTGATAAATCTACATGCTTTGGGGTATGTGTTTGGGGCATTAATTGGAAGGTGATGGGTATCTGTGACAGAGGAGGAAAGTTCCTAGTCAAGACTTTTTCTTTCTTGAAAAGCTAAACATCTACCTTTCTATATCTTCTACCCAATGTGCCTTCTTTTTCATCTAGAGGAATGTTTTTCCCCAAGTTTATACCACACAGTGCTAGTTCTGAAGTGTCAGTAGATACCTGAAGAATGTTGGTGAGTTCTGGGATCAAATAAATGTGGGAGAATCAAGGTTCAACAAAAACAAATGTTTCTTTATTCCTGAACTTCTCTGATATGCTAATATGTATTCAATATTTTAAATCTCTAAGTAGTAGTGTTTTTTTCCTAAACTTGTTTGAGCTCCCAGGAAACTAATGCCCTATTGAACAAACTTAGAAATCAATGTTCTTTAGATCATTGGCTCTCACAGGTTTCTTTTGGACCCAGTTCCATGGTAAGAAATACATTTTATATCACATCCTGGTACAAAGATGTATACCTGAAACAAGAGTTTCACAAAACTATAGTTACTTTTAGGACACTGTGATGCATTGATATTTTGTTTTGTTTCATTAAGGAAAAAAAAAATACCGGTTATGATCCAGTAAGCTGATTTCATGACCCATTAGTGGATTGCAACTCAGTTTAAAAATACTGTTCCAGAGTGTCACAGAAAGTCTGTGGTTGGCAACTAACATTATTATGTATCATGGTGTGTCAGGCTATGCTAGGCAGCTTAGAAACGTTTTTGCATTTAATTTTTATCCCTTTCGGAAGGAAGATGGGGCAGTCTACTTCCATAGTGATACTGCCTCGGAAACCCAAGGAGGGGTCGCTGAGTCGGGGCTGACTCGAGGGCACATAACAACAACAACAACAACATATGAGGGAAGGTTGGGCAATCTACTTCCGTGGTGATACTGCCTCAGAAACCCAAGGAGGGATTGCTATGAGTCAGTTCTGACTGGACGGCAAATAAAACAACATATGAGGTAAGGTACATTTCCATTTAGGTAAAGAAGCTCAGTGTCTCTCTAAGCATCAGATAAATAACACACAGTGATAGTGCTCAGATTTTAATCTAGCTTTTTTTTTTTTTTTT